CGGATTATTGTTTTTTATATTTATGTTATTTATGTATTTAAAATAATTCTGTGTAACCAGTCCGGTAGTATTACAAAAAATCATAAATATACTTTCTTCCGAAGAATATTAGGTATTTACTTTATGATATATCTTTTTTAGGGTTGTACCTATTATTTTTAGAAGAATTATCTAGTACAATATATCCACCATGACTACATCGTCAGAAGATGTTTTGATGCAAGTAGGACAAGTTCGCTATAAAAAGGGAGATGGCACTTTATATGTTATGAACGAACGAATAGCTTGGATGCTCGATAACAGAGACACTGTGTCTGTTAGTCACAAGTATGCAGATATTAAATGTAAGATCATCCGTGTAATCAATGAGATATTGTTTAATAAAAGAAATATTATAGAAAAAAGGACATATTGCTATAAATTCATTGCATTTTTTAGTTAATTCTTTTTCTTTTTGTTTACCTATTTTAAACAATGTTTGCATATGTATCAAAAAACTTGCACACATGCATAAACATCTATACATACATATATACATATGTTTTGGATCCAATTTCAATATAAGTTTATTACTTTATTAAAGATTTAAAAAAAATATAGCCTCTTAATACTTTTCTTTTTTAGTGCAAAAAATATCACCAGAAGGAAAGTCAAAAATACAACTGCAAGTTGTATTACATGATGGTTCTTCATCTACATTTCATTTTGTAAATAGAAATGGACAAGAAGCACAAATAAAGGATCGTGATGATGTGAAAGAGTTACTTCAACAACTATTACCAAAATTTAAAAGAAAAGTGAATAAGGAATTAGAAGAGAAGAATAGGTAATATTTTCGGTATTTTAATTTAAAATTTGTTTTATTTACAAATGATAATGGAATACGATTTACTAGAATGCTCCAGGAAAATCCAGTACTATTACAATTGTATAGAGATTTAGTGATTACTCAAGTTATTTCATCTGAAGAATTTTGGTCACAACATGCTGCAGAACATACACAAGCTAAAAAGAGTCAACGTCAAGAAATTGGTGTCAATAGCGCTTTTTTGGTAAAATTTATATTTAGGTAGCAATTACCAACCAGAAATTGATTCAGTTAGCATAAAATTACGACTTTTTCAGGCTGACATAAAACCACAAACCGATGGTTGCAATGGATTGAAGTATAATTTAACTGTCGATGTAATAGAATGTATATTTAAGACGTATCCTGCAGTAAAACGAAAACATCAAGAAAATGTGCCTCATAAAATGTCTGAATCCGATTTTTGGACAAAGTTCTTTCAATCGCATTATTTTCATCGAGATCGTATCAATGCGGGGACCAAAGATCTTTTTACCGAATGTGCCAAAATAGATGATCAAGAACTCAAGAAAGATATTCAGTCAGGTATCGATGATCCTCTGGTGGACATTACCTCTTTCGAAGATCAAACTCTGGATGAAAATTATGGAAACGGACCAAACAAGTCCGATAAAATTTCAGGAAACATTGTTCATCAAAGTATGATCAAAAGATTTAATCAACATAGCATTATGGTTTTAAAAGCCAGCACTGCCAAACAATCTATGCAACCTACTCAACCACAGTTAAATGGATCAACACCTTCTGCGAGCAAATCTGCACTTTCTAATCGATCGGACGAACAACCAAAAACGAAAAAGGTAAACTTGTAATTTACATGTTTTTTTTTATAATATCGTTCGGTGCATTGCTAATTATTAGCGGTAACAACAAAATATTTCACGCTTACAGCTCAGAATACAAGAAAAACTAACGTACGATGATCTTGATAGTAATTGTGACACAAACACAAATCGTAGTGCACCATTGAACTTGACACACATAGACAGATATTTACACGGTCCTGTACCAGGATATGGTAATACGGTACCGACGTCCGACGAGCTTTTTATGACCATAAATCAATTGAAAAAGGAATCAAATGGATGGTTGACAGGAAATAGTATACCGCGGCAATTAGCAACGTCGTTAGTTAGTCCAGCTGCAGCAGTCTCAGCTTTAGGGGAATTAACTCCAGGTGGTTTGCTGATGAAAGGCTTTAGGGAAGAAAGCCTTGGACGTAAGTCAATTATTGGAAAAATCAGGAAATTCAAATATTTACAAAATTTTGTTAAAAATTGATACAAAATTCTCTATATTCACAGAATTAATACCAAAGGATTTAGAAAAAGAGTTACGCAACGTTTATGTCTGCATATGTGAACTTCTAAGGCATTTTTGGCGTAGTTTTCCACCCACTACACCACAACTTGAAGAAAAGGCAATTAGAATGCATGAAGCATTACATAGATTTCATTCTGCTAAACTTAAACCTTTTGAAGTAAGTCTTTCGTTACGTATACGTTATTAATTTATCAGTTTGTATCGCATGTGTAATATCACATCTTTTATAGGACCGTGTTCAGCGTGACTTTTCCGCTGTCAGTCAACACTTGACGAGTCACTTAAACCAATTATTGAACACAGCATATAGAAAATTTGCAGTCTGGCAACAACGTAAAATGCAAATGAGGTAGCCGTTAAATAATTTGTCGTACAAATGAAAACAGCGTGAATAAAACAGAGCAATATTGGCCATCCTACGTATATTGCATTTTGTAATGTTACCGTAATTAGGGATTAATATGGGTATATTTCATAAAAACCAAAGCAGAATCGTATCGTGCATCCTGATCGTGCTGCCTGATATTGTTTATTTATTCTTACATAATTATGTTTATTATTATTTGAGAATTCTCATTAGTATATTTACTCGGATCCATTTGTAAGAAAATATTTCATGAATACTTACGTAATTTAATGTATAAATTATTTATTTACTTGTTCTAAGTTGTTATGTATTATGTTGCATATTTTCTGATACTTTCTGATGCTTGGTTATATCATGTTGATGTGTTGAAAAAAATGTCTTCAGTTAAAATTTATAAAGAAAATTCATTGAACACAAAATAAAATTAGCATTGAGGAGAATGTTTAAAATGCAACCAGTTACAAATGTATGTACGAAAACATTTAAAAAGTGTTGTATGATATCAAAATACTGATACTGCCACTGTATCACTTTGCTTTTCAATAGAATTCTCTGGAATTCGCCATGTTTAATTGTATTTCAGATTCTTTATATGCACTACACTTCTAGCTATAATATTAGAACATTGTACAGTATAATATTTCACTTGTAAGAACATAAGAAAAGAGGTCAATGTATATTTGTGTAATGTTCAAGGAAACAATGTCTAGTGTCACAAATTTTGCATCGCGAATTTTTCATGCTAGTACACAGTGGCATCAGTATACTTTTCAAGGTATCTGCGATATACACAACTAAGTGTCTTAATTGTTGAATCCTATTTTTTTTTTATAGTAACAGGTAAGGCAACTTGCAACATGTAATTTCAAAAACTGCCTGCTCACTTTCTCTACAGTAGCAATAATTTGGCAGTTATCGAAGGGGTGATACCTATTTCATCCAGTAATCGAAACGATCATATTCGCGAGTTATGCTATTATTATTATTATTATGATTATTATAGTTATAATAAATATATTCTTTACACATTACCATTATAGTAAATGTTATCATGCGCATACCAATCTTAATTAATAACACTTTAATCAATTTCAATCAATTTTCTTTGTATTAGAAAGAAATATAATAACATTTTCATAATCGATAGTTTATTTTTGTTTATGTCCTATATCGAAAGTATTTTCAAAAAATTAATTTCGCAATCAACAGGTGCATTTACACACTTGTGATCATATAACGTAACACATCCTTTCTACATTGTCCTCTGATGTGTTTCATTGTACATGTATACATTGTGATTTTACGTAAGAAATATTAAAAAATGATAATACATCGATAGTGCAATGATAGGAGAATATGGTAGAAATAAAAGAAAAGTTTTAATGAAAGATAGTAACAAATGATAATTTTCTTGAAAAATCCCGCTCTAGGGGTTATCTTTTGAAGATTCTGATTTGATAGATGGCGCGGTTCATTGTTGATTCGATTCAAAATGGCGGCCTATAATGGGCACTGCGGGGTAATATCGTTCAATTCCCCGCGATAAATGAGCCCGTGTGACGGTAACTAAGCGCGGTGTGTGCGTAAGTACCGGGTCTAGGGTGTACCAGGAATGTACACTTTTCTTTGGATGTTCAAATCATGTGAGCATAATCACAGTGCCAGCCGATCGTGTGTCGTGCGTTGGCCAAGTTTGTGTAGCCATATTTATTGTGTTATTCGATGAGACGTTATATCTTTTTGTACACCGGCAAATGTAATCAGTATTCAAGACATATGGCGATATATCGACGAACGTGAAATTATCGGTTTAGTAATTATCGCTGGCAGGGAATGCAGCGATTAAATCATCTACGACAAAGACCAATATGCACGGACGAAACATCTAAGGACCCTATCATAATAGGTCATGAAAAGACGCTACACTAGGTTCTCTTCGATTCTTAAAAACCGACGCACATTTGTTATTTGTTTCTTTTTCTATAGACCTCTATTTCTACACTTTCTGAGCAGCACGATTCGTATAAAACATCGAACAACACTGATTCTTTTGCTACCTCTGGTAGCATACATTCTATTGTTTTGGTGCCGGAAGGATATTATAAAAACGTAAGTGTCTTCTTGTTTTTTACGAAGTCTTATGACTGACCAATTTTCATAGTTGTTTCATTCAATGTATTCACTATTGAACACTTGTAATAGTAACATTGGTTAATGAAAAATAGCACATCAACAAGATAAAAAGTTAGCATGTACTATTATCATGATACACTGTTTGACATTTTATGCGATAAATAATACCTTTGAACGCGTTTATATTTTTCATGTTGAACCAGTATTATTAAGATACCCAATATTGTTGATACTGCTTATATAAATAGATCTATTGTGTATTTACAATAGAATCACTTAATTATGCATATATGCATGTAAAGTTAAATCATTTGCAAAATTATTTGAGAATTTTTTTTGAAATTATACACAAGAACATTTTGTTTTTTCCAGAATAAAATGGAGAAACCATTGTATCATATTGTCAGCCCATATTGGATGAAAATTTATAGTCTTTATATACAGTGAAATAGTTTTTGGTATACCTTTTTTTTACATAACACCAGGACTGGATATACAAAAGTTATAACAAAAAGTTATGTTATGAATATTATAGAATATATGAGTAACATTTACATAGAAGAAAGTCTGCTGTACGTGGACCAAGCAGGCTAGGCACTACCGTGCCAAGTTTGGGTAATGGATCCCGTTGGTCCATGGTACACATCATATAATCGTCTTACGGCAAGTAGTGCAACCAATACGTTTCAGTCAACAACCTCGAGCACAAGCAGCGATTTTGTATCTCATCACTTAGCAACAGCTGCTAGTCAGGCAGTTCCATCAACCACGTCGCAATTAATCTTGCAAGCAGCGCATACAACAGCAACTCTGGCGGGTCAGCCTTCTCCCTTCAACCCAGGGGGATTTTTATCTCCACCCCCTGTGGGATATGATGTCTTTTCACCTCTGTTTCACCATCCTAATCCGAAACAGGCTCATTATGTTACGCAGCATAGGCAAGCTCTTGCTCAAGCTCAGGCGCAAGCTCAAGCAGTATCGGTAACAAAACAAAATACCACAAGTGAATCTGAGATTCCTATATTGAGGGAGAATTATAGCTCGGCACATCAACCAACATTCTTCGAGCATCAGGGTACAGCAGCTACATCACCGACATCTGCGCTAGCCTGGTCTCATCAAAACAATGCGCAATTACCTAGTCCTTTTGGGATCTTACCACACGAAAGTGTTGTTCCATCGTCTCCAGGCCCATCATCTGCAACAAAACCTGCTGCTGGTGTTTACGAAAACACGTTTAATTCTCATTTTTCTACCAGTCAACCTATCAATAATATCAATTCTCAGCTGCCTTCTCCTTCTGTCTCTACTGCAGAGTTCAAGTCAACCAGTTACTCAGATAGTAAAAAAGCTATAAATGTTAGAGCTCAATCGCCAACAGTAAATGTTAAATCGGTGGTTCCTACATCACAAACGAGCAGTAATCAAGCATTTTTCCAACAAGTACCTACAACCTTTAGCTCTGAAACATTATCAAATAATTACTCTACAACTAATGGAAATCAGACATCCAATGGAAAGGTGCAACCTTCTCTTCAGCATCAACAATCTTGCATTGTTTCTGCTCCAAACAACACAACTGGAAAAGAGTATAGAATTCCACAGCCACCTGCCAGGTCAGTTGCATCTACAACTATATTTTTGAATACATCTGTCAGATCTGTACCAATCCAAGTTCAAGATAAACCTTCTACTCGAAACAGTAACTTCCCTTCACCACCGAACAAGATAACTACTGTATCTCAACAAAGCATTCAAACGAAAGCTCAGACAAAGATATATCCAGAATTGAATGCTCACAGTGAACACAGGCGAAATGAACAAACGTCGCAAGATAGCACACAATCGTCGCCAATTAGTTTTTCTATTATGGAGTCACGGAGCTTAAACTATACAGCTGGTAATAACACAAATTGTTCGAGTGCTAGTGGGAAAATTAATAATCAAAGAACTCAACAACAACAATCGAATAACAATTTGCAAACCCATTCTCAACAACCACAACAGCAGCAGCAGCAACCACAGTTTCATGTTTTGAGTCAGCAGCAGCAGCAAACATCGTATAGACATTATCTGACAGGATCTGATTCTGAATATCATCATTCGGGCAGACCAAAGACTGCAGGTTCAACTGACTCTACATACCCACCTAATAATTCTGCCCAGAATGGACCTGACTGTAGCGTTGTGGTACCACGAAGACCAAGTCCGTTGCAAGCTCATTCGCAGGCAAGTCCTTTGGGACATGTACCAAGCCCTGCTTACCCTATGTACAATAGTCCAATGACTGCGATGTCATCTCCTTCTCCTTTGCAACAACACACAGAAAATAATGGAAATCAGTGCACAAGTGGACCAGCCTACAAAAGTTCTGTACAACAAGTTACACCACTGTCGCCATTGGATGTTACTGTGCCACGACCTGCTTCGCAGGGACAAGTTGTTTATTCATCGGTGATCACACGCGCCTTAGGTACTGCTGAAACTAAAACGACGTACAATACGGATAATAAAAATTATGACAGACAACAACAAGATTTCTCGCAAACACAAACACAGACGCAAAAACAAGTATGTTGGGAAAACGAGAATCGTCACCCAGTGGGAAATAGGAAATTTTCTGTTGCTTTATATGCCGGTGGAAATGCTGAAATAAATGCTCAAACTTTGCCAGTTCAGCAACAAGTGCAACGCGTGATAAATGTTTCCGATAGACAACAAACGTATTTTGAATCGAATCAAGTGACTTTGCAGGATTTAAGTAGCTGCAGAGGAGATCCTATGAGTATAGTGAAAAATTTACAAACTTTACAACAAAGCTCGTGTCAATTACAACAACAGACTACCGCCGTTTCTGTTGCTCCAGCTGAACAACAACAGAAACAAACGGAAGAACGTCGCAAGCTGGATAGTGTAAGTAAAAAGAGAAAGAATTTAGAAAAGTGTGGACACAGTTCTTCTTTGAACGAAATTAGTGGTACGGCAACGGTGACAGAATATTTAAATAGAATACCTCCACCTGCTCATCATAATACAAATCAACAGCAACAAAATGGCTATTTCGATTTTGAAAGATGGAATTTACCACCGCCACCCGCGAAAATGTTTCCTGGCACATCAGGTGCTTTCAGTTCGCAATCAACCTTACACCACTCTAGTAATTTTGTTGGTACACCGGCGCATCAGCATCAGTCTCTGATGGTTTCTCATCATCACGCGCCGCCGCCAATTCCATATTTTCCTGCTTTTCATATTCCTCCGAGTCATCATCACTCGCACGACTTTCAATCTTCCGTTGAAATCACACCGATCGGTTTCGGTGAGAACACAGTAAATCAAAATACTAATTATAACCAAGAAGTTAGAGACGATCAGCCTAAAGTAATTGTTCCTAACATTGAAGAAGAATTAGGTTTTTTACAACAAAACCAACAATCGCTTGAAACAAGTAGTGCGTTGAATAAAGATTTCAAACGACCCAACAAGGATCCCAATTCGGGATTCATGACTAGTTACTTGAAGTTCTTGCAAGGTGAAAGAGAACCGTCGCCTCCGCCCACAGTTCGAGGTGGTAGAAAAGCAACGTGGAGCAGGTCGAAACCTTATGTCCCTGTAGATACCACCAAATCAACAGAAAATACTATGAATGGTGAGGCGGTGAAACCGCAAGTGGAAAAACCACCGCCGCCACCTAAAGAGTCGCCGGTAATCGATTATGCCAACGATCCTCGGTATTTTCCTTTGCCGAAAGAGCGGAAAAAGCAGAATTTTGACTCTAGCGATGATGGTTTTACTAGTGATGACGATTTCCTGTTTCCGCCGAAGAAATCGGAGAAAAAAGTAACAAATGCGAATACAGCGGAGACACCAACTGCTAATAAAGCGGAAGGTAAATCAAAAAAGGGGAGACCAATTAAACCCGGAGGCCCAACGGACAGAAAAAGAAGAGCTGCCGCAGCATCATCTGTGCTGGAAACTGTATCTCATTCGTCAGTTGGTAAAACATCGAAAAAACATGAAGAAGGTAATACACAAATCACTTTTTTTTCATAAATAACTCTTTATAGGACTGTACTGTAATGATAGGCTTTGTAATATCTATGCTGTATCAAGGAGGAGATGGATCATTTTTCACTATGTATTCATATTAATTTCGAGAGAAATTCATACATTACGTTACTCGAGATAGCTTTTTGGTTTTCATAGCAGAATAAAACTACTGTAGCTATCAAAACATTCATGAAAGACTAAAATAACAGCCAGTAGATAAAGTATTAATATCACCTACCACTATTAACCACAAGCGTTATCAAATCTAATAGAATAATCTCCTTATTGAGCAGTGGTATATACAAGTGATCACCAACCTATAAAGAGTTAAACCCTGTTATAGTGTCTTTTTTGCAACCGAGTGTTTCTTTGTTATAGTGGACCCATTACTTCTACCTCCAAGACGAGAAACATCGAGAAGAAAGGCAAAAGAGAAAACTACGGTAAAACAATTTCTAGATCGGCAACAGGGTATAGATTACTTTGATAATGACGAAGAGCAAGGTGACTCTGATTCTGATCCTGCCTGGACGCCAGCTGTGAAATTAGTTGGGGATGAAGAAGAGAAGAAGAAGAAGCGTGGCAGACCTGTTATTACGAAAAAAAGTAGAAAAGTCAGAGAAGAAGGTGATCACTGTTCAAGTGACAGTGTCGGTTCGAAAATCAAAACTAGAAAGAAACACGAGTCGCAATCGAAAATTTCCAACGCTAGTGGGAAATTGTCTTGCAAAATAGACGAGAAGCTGTTGACGTCTATCAGTGATGAAGATATTGACATTTCACCGTTCAAGGTACGCCATTTAATTTCCTAAATTATATTATTAATATACATGTGTATATGAAAATATATAAATGTTTATGCGTTGCATGCAGCGCTCTGCGGACAATTCAGAAGATGTGGTAAAATCATTTTTCATATTTATTACATATTTTAATGAAATTTTTCGTTTATGATTTTCTATATTATTTTTCACTCCCATGAAACAAAATTTATTCGTGGTATGATTACGAACCTACACGTTTTTCTAGTCTGGAGAATTTGTTGTGATAAAAGCAGATTTGAGTGAGGAATATCCAGCGCTTTGGAGAATAGATGGTAAAACATTACTTCAAAAATATGAACCATTCAAGTCGAATGGAAAAACATTGTACAGAAACATATCCACGGTAATAAAAAGTAAAGTTTTTTTCCTCAATGTTTTTACATACATATGTTAAAATATTACTATTTTTTTAGTATTCGGGTTGGGCGCCACAAAATCGCCACATATATCAACAAGTTCCGGTAAAATTTTGGCAGCAAGGCAAAACGGAAACTGTGGTAGAATTTTTGAGGAATGAAATGATCATTGACGATATGTGAGTCGCATTGTAAGAATTTTATTATATTTGTAATTCTGATCATTTGAAATACTTACATTTATTTTCCTTTTTTCAGCGAAGGTATCGATAAATATATGAAAGAAACCGAAAAATATCAGGATAATTTCGAGGTGTATATACAAACATTGATCTCGCAAGCTTTGGATTCGAATTTCCTTACAGAAATATTTCAAGAACAAGGTATGTAATCTTGGAACTAATTTGTGCGCGCGCGCATACACACGCGTGTATGTAATTTCATATAATGACAAAACGTCGGGTTCTTTTATTTTGAACAGATGATTATTTCTTGTCGAACGTTAAGACTGTCGACGAAATAACAGAAGAGAGAAAACGTAGTCTACTGTCAACAACGAAATGGCGTTTAAATGTTGTGAACGCAATATCAACTTGGCCATGTCTTAATGTCCTTAAAGATTTACCATCCACGGAGTACAAAGGAAAATCGTGCGCTGGTTGCCAATGTTCGAAAATTCACGCCAGAGTTTTACTGTATGGTCAACCATACAATGCCACTACATTGGAAGGTTCACCGCCTGATCCAAGGATACCTCAAGAAAAAGTATTGTTTGCAACTTCTTATCCGTTTAATTATACTTACTATTCTATAGTCTATCTCCATTATTCAATTTACTGTACGATTGCCAGGATTTTTTACTGTGTCGTGTATGTCAAGCGAAGGTAGCTTTGTACAATAAAGTAGCGCATCAAAAGTATTTGATGTTTTTGGAGTGTGCGAGAAGAGTTGCGGATAAAAGAGTAGCAGACCCTAATAAGGACACTACAATTATATTAAACGAATTATTAGCGGATGAAACATGGCTTAATCAGGTAAAGTATAAATGTATTCTTTAAATAAGTTACGTTATAAATATGAAGTGTCTCACCTAATTTGTATATGCCATGATTGATAATAAGAAAAGATGTTAGGGGAAACATGATTGTGGAATACACCGTATACAAGTTATAGATAAGTATAAAAAATATATTACATTTTTTAGCTATTCAAGGAAGTTAGAACTATCTGGGCGGAAATAGATAATTTGGAACAACAAACTAAATCAAAGTCGAACACAAAGTCTACTTCATCTTCTTCGGTGAACAGTTTGGAAGGAAAGGTTGAAAATGTTTTAAAACCACATACAACTGAAATGACTGTTGAGACCTTTGATTCACAGGTGCCTACACAGAAAGTTGAAAACAATTCTGAGACAGTGTCTTGCGAGGTGCAACTAAACAATATACCATCTTAGTGGTGCTATGATAATCATCAGTTTTGTTTAATATTTGATGTCACAAGATCGTTAGGAGATTAGCGATAAATTGAATTTATGAATATAAAATTAATGACAGTTTCGAGACCAAACGATTGAATGATGTATTTTGAGGATGGTAAATGTTTAAATCAAGTTAATACTACATGCTGTGACGAATGGTGAAATTAAATAATATGTAATCAAGAAACTATGATTATGTGGATAAGAAGTAGATAACAGCGAGGTAAGTAAGAAAATATTTGCGCATAAACATCGGACACGTGTAATATATTCATCCCTTCGTAAGAATTAGAAGACAGCCCTAACTTTGCCATTGTAGTTGCATAATAATAGATTTACTGAATATTTGTGTGAATATAGACCTTTAGTATTAGAATTTGTATCATGATAAACTTATATTAAGATCAAGGTCTGATGTGTAATAATCTGATAAACTACGAAAGACAAATGATTAGGATAAAGAATGCAAAGTGATATGACGTTTTGAACGTCGTGACCTTCTCTAATGTATTTATGTACGTCACACTCTTCAAAACCACGAAGGTCCATTCTCTGTGAAAGAAAACAGAAATTGTTACGCTGTTCGTTCCTCTAAATGTAATTTACAAATTCATTGTGCATTTTATGTATATATACATTTTATGTATATATACATATGTATACATACATTATATATGTATATATATACATATATATATACACATAATTAAACTAATTTACGTTTATCTTTTTTAATGATTTGATAAATATATGAACGGTAGTTATGTTCGCGTTAATTTGTATATAAATAGATCATGCAGGTATAAAATCTACACGTATAAAATACGTTAAAAACATCAAGAGGTGTTCCAAGGTAGCATTCTTTTAATAAAATGTTTTATAGTAAATGAAATATTTTGAAAATATTCTCTTATTAAGAAAAACAGTAGATATCTTGTAGAACATTTGTACATATACATACATATAAAGGTACTTTTAATAAGATTAGGAATATTTTTTTCTATGTACCTTCAGTTCATCATATTTCATCGTGTAATCTTCATGATTTAGTGCATTGCAATATATTAATAGTTCACGTACTAACTAGTCTCCGAATTCTTCCATGCTAAAATTACTTTTAACAAATAAACGCTACTCATT